CAGTCTGTGGACCAATACTGGGCTGCGGCATGCCAGCAACTGGTCCGCATAAACAATTTCTTGACCAAAACTGAAGAAGCTTCTTGGATGAAAAGTGAAACGTCTTCAAGGAGAAAAAAACCCAAGAAAGTCCACCTGCCTTTTGAAAAGCACCTTTGGCTAAATAAAATAAGCTAACTTGGTATTCTTTTCCTTTACTTTTAACACCATAGCTTATTACTTTTTCTGAAAATATAACAAAAAGAATCTCTTCTTCTCATATCTTCCCTCTTCCCTCTAAACAAATATTTAAATCTTTGTCATTTTGCCCTGGTTGAGAAAAACTCAATAAGCGCTACTAAAAAAGTACAACATACATATTTCCACATTGATCAAATTAGTCAACTTTATATCCTTTCCTTTTGATTTAAAAAATCTTGATGTTTATTCTCTTTAAATAGTGTCCAGAAGCTGATTATCTCTTTGTCTTTTTTCAAGAACACCCTCATAGGTTCAACACATCTTTTTTGTAAGTCCAAAATAAGAAAGTTGTCCAAGTCACTCTTCTGATTTATTATTTGTATGTCACTTTTAGTTAGTAAAACATTAGCCTACTTTATTTATTTGTAAATTCATTGTTATTGTCTCCTTGTGGGGACCCTTCATATGAAGCATTTGGGGGTGATCTCAGGTTGACCCTTTTATACAGAGAGGAATATTGAGTTGCTGAACTGTTCACCAACTCCTTGTTCTATTGCAGTGATCACTTATGCTAAATGTGGAACTTTTCCTCAGTCCTCCGTTGCTTTCCCAGAAGTCTTTCCCTTCTCCTTTTCCTATCATCACTTTCCCAGCATTCCCAACTCACTCTCATTCTCCATCTTCCACTTTCTCACATCCCCTGCAAACCTATTAATTCCTTCTGGGGAAGAGGAATGGTAAGTGGCCTAGGTGTAATACAAAGACATTTTAAATAAATAACTGGAATTGCCTTGGATTGAAAAGTGTTTCCCAGCTAAAGAAATAAAAATTGGGTGGGGACACTATGACAGGGAAGTCAAGTAGAAGATAGAGATCTCAGTCTTGATGTGGCTTGCACCACAAAGAAAAAGCTGTGTTGGCATTTTCTTCCTGTCCTCCAAAAGACAAGTCTTAAAACAATGCTGAATCAAGGGTAATGCATGAATAATTGTGCACAAATATATGAACTACAATGCCTTACCTGTTGTGTGATCAAAAGCCAGGAATATATTTTTGGAATCTGTCAAAGGTGTGCAGAAAGGATGGATTGCTAAAGCTTTGGAAGGGAAAGCTTTATAGCTAATTCTGTCCTGGGGAAATTTGTAGGTACCTATGAGAATCCGTCTGACCTATGAGACATTCTACTCTAAACAAGGCAATGTTAGTGGCTCAACGTGAGTCTAAGATACCCCTGGGATGCTAAACCAATCAATGTCAAGACACACAAGTTAAGGCCTCTCAGTTCATTTATAATTGGTAGACTTTCCTTTTGTAAAGAGAATTATAATGAGGATGCCAATTAGCATTCACTGAACTGCTGAAACAATTCAGAAATATTGTTATGTCAGATTTAGTGTGAAGTTGTCAAATGACACAATTTTCATTATCTCAGGTCATGCACAGAGAATCCAGAAACATACATTCCAAAGCATGGTTAAATTGCTTGTATTAGCAGGGGAAAGGCTGTGTGCATATAAATGCTTAGCGTAGAACTGTGTACCCATTTATAAAGGTCACTTTCTAATCTCTCTCTCTCTCCCTCTCTCTCTCTCTCTCTCTCTCTCTCTCTCTCTCTCTCTCTCTCTCTCTCTCTCTCTCTCTCTCTCTCTCTCTCTCTCTCACGCACACACACACAGTATGTACTATATGTATGAATATACAAAAGTTTTAAAAAAAAACCAGGGCAAGCCAAAAGCTTGGTGGACACAAAGAAGAATTTTTACAACACATAGATAGCCATCTGCCCATGGTCTAAAAATCTGATTTAAATAATTAGGTGGGTAGACTTGATCTTAGCTTTATCATACTTTGGTGTTCAGAGAACCATAAGGGCCAGCTAAAGAAAATAAAATATAAAGGTCATTTAGTAAAATAAATTAAAATTTTAATAGCACTATATTTTATTTAGGTCCTATAATGTAATAGTTCTCACAAATAGTTCTCTAGTTCTCTTACAAATAGATCCTATACTGTAATAGTTCTCATTTGTAAAGAATGGAAAGGGCTAGGCATCATCCTTCAATCTTGGAATTAAAACTTGTTTAAACTTTCCCGCTAAATGGACAGGACTTGCACATGTATTGAAACTATAACTCCTAAAATTTTCAGCAATCTGAGCTGCAATCTGAACATGTCTGGAATGAGCAAAGTTAGAAAAGGCGATGAGGCACAAACCATGGCATAAACATATCTATTCCTTCTTCAAATTGCATGGGTTAAACCTGGAGTCTCCAGAATGGCATTTTAAACATCAAAGTATCTGAAAAACTTCTAGAGTCTGCCAGATTGCCTATTTTACCTGTTATACCACTACTTTAAAAAAAACCTATCACATATTTTAATTAATAAAAAAATAACTTATTTTAATACAAAAAACCCAAACCCTTTTAAAAAATAGCTATGGGACCCAAAATTAGTGGAGGAATACACAAAATTTCCCTTAGATGTCTGTCCAAGTGCCCAGAAAAACAAAACAAAAATAACTGGGCTGTTTGAGTGATTGGGGGGGGGCTTAAAATGGGTGGGCAGGAATACTTTAATATTTTACCAATGATTTTTCCATAACTCTCCAGATCTAACACAGCTGCCATTTTGGGACAGTAGTTAGGATAATCTAACCACAAGAATTAAGACATCAGCCAACTGCACAGTATTTGTAACTTTTAAATTCCTGTACTGTACATACTTAACCAAAAATAAATACCATTGTAATCTGTGGGTGTCAGTTCTGGGGAATTATTTGAAAGATAGAACCTGAGACTGGCCCAAAGTAACAGAATCAGTTAAAGATTTTGCTGATAGTTGTTGTTACAGTACATAAATTTCTCCTTATTTCATTATGTAAACATTTGCAAAAGATTTATCTGAAATTTCATTTCTTGTACACTTCTCGGTAACCATGTAGCAAAGTTAGTTTACACATGGCTTCCATCAAAATGAGAATTCCACAGATGGATAAGTATTATAGTCTAAGTCCAAATAATGTTTCATCAAGCATTTTGTTACCAGACCAGACACTCAGACAGATAATTCCCATTTCACATAAATGTACTTTTGTGCAAACATTACACTAAAGACATGTTATTATTTCTTTCCATCCTAACCCAAAACTGTGTGTCTTTTGATATGGGAGATGAATTCTGTGCCCCAACAGCAAATGTGAAAAAAGCGTTTGGTAAGCTGATTTAAATTATTACTGCTGAGGACTTTCTTATACATGCACCTGTTTTTCAAGGATATAAATTTTTAATCTCAAAAAAGTTTCTTTCCAAATTCTTCTCTTTCCAACAGAAGAAGTCTTTAGTTAGGTCATCCATTAAAAGGAATGTGAGCATTCTTCCCACTAGGCCAGAAATTCCCAACCCAACCTGAGGTGCCCATACCCCAGAGGTTGCAAGATGGAATTTAGAAGTGTGACAAAGAGTGGCTTGTGTCCCTTAGTCACAATTACTGTGTTTGTAGGCGGTGCCAACATTAATTACATTTGCTAGTGCTGGGGAGGGGGACATAGAAGTTGGAGAACCACAGCTCTAGGCATTGAAATGCTGGCCTTGTTAAAAAAAAAAAAAAAAGCGGAGGGGGGAGTTATGTGCAACTTTTCCTGAGAAAAATGCCAGCATCTTTGTATTCATCCTTGGATGTTATTTTAAAGTACATAATCCTATGAAATTCTTACATAGAATTGTGGAAATCATATATGACCCCAGCAAGTACATAGCTTTCCCCTCCAGGTTCATCTACTGATGTTAGGAGAGTTTACTAGTGTATAACCATTAAGGTTCTTTCCCCTTGTTCTCCTGGGAGGCAGTGTTCAACTATCATGTGAGCAGTTTGGATGAATATTTCAAGTACATCCCCCAAAAATATTTATTTCTGCTGTTTTCTAAAGATATTTCTTGCTTTAGCTGCAGTTGACATGTAGGAAGTTTTTTTATGACAGAGAGTAAGCTCTTTTGTTGAATTAACAATATTGAAATACGAGTTCTGTTTGTGTGTGTGTGTGTGTGTGTGTGTGTGTGTATGCACCGACGCACATGCAAACAAGGTTTCAAATGTGCTTTTATTTTTTTCTAGCGTATAAGACTCACATCCTCCAATTCTGTTCTGCAGATATCATATTTTACAAGATTAAACCACAGTATTTTGTATCTGGGAAAATGAAATAGATAGCACATTCCTTGCTGTCATATGACAGTGAGGAGGAATGTGATGCTGTAGCAGATAAATGTATTCTTCAGAGTCTGTATTTTGCAGAAATAAGATATTTAAAGAGATTTTTCAATTTCTTCCATTTTATTTCCATCATTATGTTATTTTAGTTTATTTATTTATTCATCTTGAATACCGTAAATGCCGGCGTACAAGGCGACCCGGCGTATAAGACGCCCCCCATCTTTATAGCCAGGCCGCATTCCTAGAACGTCGTCTTATACGCCGGAAACTACCAGTATTTCCGGCGTATAAGACGACTCGGCGTATAAGACGACCCCCGTCTTTGGCGCCAATTTCAGCGCTCGCAGAAGTCGCCTTATACGCCGGCATTTACGGTACTTTGGTGTACAAATTTAGCATGTTTTTTCTAAGGGGAAGGGGATTTTTTCCAATATGCAAGATTATTTCTTCCTTATAGAATATGGATTGTTTCTATTTGCAAGACTGAAAAATGTTGAAGTAGTGATCTTGGAGAAAAAAGATAACTTAGCTCCCAGAGAATGAGAAGACCCATTCTGATGAACCATTTTTATTCTCTTTGAACTCTCTCTTTCTCTCTCCCTCTGCAGGTGGAATTGGCTGCCTTGATCGTGACAGAGGACAAGCACGGCAATGTCTAGATGTCGTGGAGATCTATAACCCTGATGGGAATTATTGGCGAGAAGGACCACCTATGCCTTACCCTCTTCTTTCCCTAAGAACCAACTCTACCTGTGCTGGTGCTGTGGAAGGGAAACTTTATATCTGTGGAGGATTTCGTGGAACAGGTCTGGAGAAATCCAAAGAGAACGTTGTTATGTTTGCAATGTGCTTCAAGAATCACCCTAAATATCACTATCCTAACTTACATTGCATCCCATCCCAATTTGAATTTGTCTGTCTGTCTGTCTGATTCCAGCACCGTAAAAAGTCTGAGGAAGTCCTGGTTCATGGGTGCTCTTGCATGAGCAAATGACAAAACATGCATCACAATATTGTAATACAAACTCTGCATTTTTGTATTTGTTTCAGGATGCTGCACACAAGTGAATAAGGGGTAAATCTTGTATTTGTGACATCTCAATGCCCTTTTCATCATTTTGACAAAAATCTTAGTTTTATAGGACCTCCACTAGTCCTATATAATAGTCACTGGGAATATCCCAAATTTACAGTATATCAGTTTACTGAAATAGTTCAGATCTCATACATTTCTGCAAACAGATTCTTATAATCATATAATAATTATGATTAAATTTTGACCATGATATTCTTCCATATGCATATTGTCTGCAGTCCCATTTATTTATCATGTATATTTACAATATATTCCACTTTCTTTCAGAGAGTCTATAGCATTATATATGATTTTTTCTCCCCCCCCCTTAATTTTTTCATCAGAACAATTTCATAGGTTAGACTAAAATTATGGGAAAAGTCACCTAATAACCTTTTTGTTGGGGCTGGAGTGAATATACCCAATATCAGTTCTGCATTATAATCTGTATACCAATTGCCGGGTACAAGGCACAAGATCCACATGCGTTGTTATTCAAGCTAACTACTTTATTGTAGTCTTCATATAATACAGGAATCTTCCCAGACTGCTTGCTTTTTCTTGGAAACAGATAGATAAGACTCCATGGAGCTTAGGGGGGAGTCTCAATTCTGAATCTCTTGCAGCTGCACAACAATTCAAGACTAATTCCTTGCTTGAGTCCTCCCTCCTGCCTGGCTGGGTATTTCCCAACATCATTTTTTTATCACTATATTACAAATAACAATTTTCTTTGCATATATGTATAAACAACTGCAGAACTGGATGTAAATTTTCTCATGAAATAGCACAGCATTCATATTTTCAGAAATAGGACAATGTTATGTCAGGGAATTGTGCAGCCAGTGTCCAAATAGAGTCAGAGATGCTGACACAAACTTGCAGTTTTATATAAATAAATATATTTTACATTTATATTTACAGCAAACAAGATAGTCAGGCACATCACTACATCATGAGATAAATTGTCAGGTAAATCACAGAACAGAGCACACAGAAGAAAAAGGCAGGAAAAAAGGGAAACTCCCCCTTTTCACCCAGCAACCAATCATAATGTAGATTGCCTCATGCAGGAGTCCACATTCTTCAACCAATCAACTACAATTGTGTTTTCTGGCCCATTATACACTTTACTATTACAGCTATTAAATTTAATATCTTAACACGTTAACAATCACTTAAGGGCAATGTAATGCTATTTCTGTAAATGTTAGTCCATAGTCCTCCACAGATAGCTTTTCCCATCAAACACCAAACAATATGAGCAATCAGCCTACCGTTTTTCATTTTCAGAGTCACAGCAACAACAATAAAACCAATTATTGTCCTTTCCTAAAGCAGCAGCATATTTGTTTTTGATGCTTTTTTTAAAAAACATCAAGCAGTTTCAGGTATTCAGTGTCAACATTATAATTCTAGATGTTTGGGATATGGACCGTGTTATTGATACATGCTCATTTTTTAAAATAATATTTTATTAATTTTCCAATTTTACATTTAAGTATTTAAAAAGCAATGTGGTGACTGAGTTAATCAATAGTTTGATAACAAAATATTTAGTACAAATCTCAAGTTGCAACATCAAATATTTCTTCTCTTTTTCCCTTAACATTTACTGTCTCGTATTTAAGCTAATACAGTTCTTATTATATCAACTCAATAGAAACATCATTATTACATTTATCAATAAATTTTAGCTTATATGTGACTTCCGGCGGATCTGCGCGCGCGATGGCGGCTACTTTGTAGCCGTCCTCCTGGGTAAGTGTTTGAATCGCTATGAACAGCGGACATCAGCTGTTCAGCGGTTCAAAATCCCCCTCCCGGGCAAAGGGGGGGAAAGAGGGTTGTCTGAATAGTGGTAGAGCCTCTTATGCACCCCCAAGGCTTTTTTGGGGGGGGGGTGAAAGGAGTGCTCCCACGGAGTTCAGACTGTCTCCGCTTCCCAGCTGCTTTTGTCCCTAGGGACAAAACAAGCCACTGCAACCACCTCCGCGATTAAAGTGAACTGGTGAGTTTTTCTTAGAGATGGACAGAGCTGAGTAGAGGACTTAGCTTTTGCTTTCTTTGATTTTATTTGGATTTTAAGTTTAAAGATTTACTTTTACTTTTATATTCCCTTTTTTATTTTTTTTATTTTTTTTCCTTTGTTGAAAGGGAAAGTAAAATGGCGATCGGCAGGCTTTTCGGTGTTTTTTTTTCCCTTTCTTTTTTTTTTAATGACTGGAACGGAATGTGGACTTGATTATTTATAATGATTTTTTGATGTTGGGTTTGGATTTTAGAAGCATTATTATTTTTGTTTAACTTCTTTGTTTTGTTTTTTGTACTTTTAAAAAATGGAATGGATTTTTTCTATTTAATCTTTTTTTTTCTTCTTCCTTTTTCTTTTTTTTTAAACTCCTTTCTTTTTATTATAATGATCTCCTTTTGAAGGATTTTTGATTTTTTGGAGTTAATCTCTCTTTTTCTTTTGCTTAATTTTTGTAATTTTTAAGAAGGAGTAAAGATTTTTTTAAGATGGCTCCAAAGCGTCCAGTAATTCCTACAGTTCCTAAGGTGGTTTCTTCTTCGGTGTTATCATCAGCACAACAACCTAAATCAATAGCTTCACCCTCTTCCGTGGTACAGCCAATAATGGTGAAGGACTTGCAAGATATGATGGGAAATGTTATATCTCAAATTAGGGGAGAAATGAAAGAGATTTTAGAGGAAAATAATAAGATTTTGAGGCAAGAGATAGATTTGGCTTTAAAAGGAGTTGCCTCTGTTCTTGAAAAGCTGAACTCTCGCGTAGAAGAGGTAGTAGAAAAAGTGGAATTGATGGCGGGAAAATTTGAAAGCATGGAAAAAGAGATAGAAAATTTTCAAGATGAGATTCTTATGCTTCAATATAGACAAATCGAATATGCTTTAAGAATCAGAGGTTTGAGAGAGTCTGTGCAAGGAGACCTGAGAGAGATGGTTGCAAAGGATTTTGCTGTGATTTTGAATAAAGAAAAAGAGGAAATACTTAGTGAAATTGAAAAATCATTTAGAGTTAACTCTGTGGTGGCAGAGCAAAAGAATTTGCCAAGAGATGTGGTAATTTACTTTGGGAAAAGATCCCTGCGCAACGAAATTATACAAGCTTTTTATAAGAAGAGGTTTCAAATTGCTTCATAAGATGTTATAATTCTAAAGGAGATCCCATCTAAAATTTTATGCAACATATAAACGTAAAGAAAAAGAGCAACAGAAGAAGGAGTTTAAGGAAGCCTCACAAGTATTGGTTCCTGAGTCTGTGGGAGAAGCAGGATTTATAAACTTTTTGGAGCTACCTTTAAGGGCAGATTTCAAAACACTTCTTTTGAGGTTTATGGATAAGAGAGACTGATAAGGAATGTGTTTACTGTGGATGGAATTGGTTACTGGAGAGAAGATTATGGGGATCGAATGAAAATTCTAGATAAGAAGTTTAAGTTTAAGTACTTAGTTTAAGTATTCAAAAGAGTACTGAGTCTGCGGGAGAAGCAAGACTTACAAACTTTTTGGAGTTACTTTTAAGGGCAGATTTCAAAGCACTTCTTTCGAGGTTTATCGATAAGAGAGACTGATAAGCAATGTGTTTATTGTGGATGGAATTTGTTATTGGTAAAGATTTAAATATGTATAAGGGAATTTTAATGTTTTAAGTAATGTTTAAATTTGTGTTTTGGAGGGAGTTTATAAAGAATGATGGATAATAATATAAGTATGATATGAAAAGGTTCAGAGTATATTATAATGTGTTTAATGATTGAGCTTTTTTATTATTATTATTATCATTATTTTTAAGAGAAGATAACTTGTTTAATTATATGTACTTAGATTTGTTTAGGATTTATATGTCTTTTAAGTTTTTCTTGATAGGAGAGAAGATTATGGAGACTGAATGAAAATTTTAGATAAGAAATTTAAGTTTAAGTACTTAGTTTAAGTATTCAAAGGAGTATTTAGTTTTAATGGTATAATGAATGTTTATATGTTTATTTTTGTGTTTTAGGATAAAGAAAGAGGGAGAGATTAGATTTTATATCGTAGGTATAGATATTTAAAGAAAGTAATGTTTAAATTTATGTTTTGGAGGGAGTTTATAAAGAATGATGGATAATAATATAAGTATGATATTAGAAAATGTTTAGAGTATACTATAACGTGTTTAATGAGTGCAATTATTATTTTTTAGAGAAGATAACCTATTTAATTTAATGTATTTAGATTTGTTTAGGATTTATATGTGTTTTAAGTTTCTTTTTGAAAAATTTTAATTAAGCCTGTACTCAGCTCTGGGAAGGTTGGGGGAGGGTTTGGGAGGTTTGGGGAGGTGGGGGAGGGTATGGGAGGGTGGGGGAGTTTGGGGAAGGGATTTGTTTTGTAAAATTTAAAAACTTTCAATAAAAAAAATAAATAAATTTTAGCTTATATGTATCTTAATTACATTCAGTCTTCATAAACAATCCATATCCTATTATTAATTTTTACCCAATTTTTAATTTCTCATCAATATTCCAATTTAACCTTTGATATTTATAATTTTCAAGCCTTAGGTAACCAAGATTTCCCTTATCTCAATTCATAACAAAACTTACTATCCAAAATACACATTTTATCTATTTAAATGTAATCTTGTTCTATTTCCTAAGAGTTATCTATTTCCCACCATATTAAATCATCTACTTAATAATACAACATCTCCTTTAGTAGATCAAA